GAACAGGACAGTGGCTTGCCTGTGCAGGAGTGTGCGCAGGGAGTGGGAAATCTGAGAGGAAGGGGAAAAGTGTTTGAAGACACTAGCCTGAGCTGCCTCACATTCTCCCGTTGGAAGAGGTGTTTTAAATTTCAAGAGACAAAAATACAGGGAACGTGCACTAGGGACAGCTGGCCCTGGCTGTACACATCTGTCCTGGCATCCAGTGTCCTCTCTTATTCAGAGCCTTCTCCTCCAAGAAACATGTCCCTAGGTTTACATGTAAAGAGACATCCACCATGCATGAAAACCCTTTGCTAAGGTAAGTGCTTTTGTGGCCTTGGAATGAAACCCCTCCAGCAGTAGGATAGTGAATGCAATTTCCCTACGCTTTCCAAGCAAGGAAGCAGCTGCCCTGCTTGAAGCAGCATGAAATCAGTGCCTCCTTGTTGGAAGGTAGGACCAGGAACACTGGTGGGACTGGGATGTCCACATTCCCAGGGAGGGTGTTGGGGCCAGAGAAGGAGAGCACTAGGAGGAGCTGCCCCTGCCCCCAGGTGCTCCGTGTTGGGAGACATCTGGGTCCTGTAGTGAGGCCAGGCATGCGTCCAAGGAGAGCCAAGAATAGCAGCAGGTGGATTTTGTGGCATGCTTTGACAAGGAAAACCAGTAACTCCTGCTAAGGATATGGCAACTGGTAAAGAGCGCTCATCCACAAAATCACCTGGTGCTGCAGGATATATGGTTCATGCTGAGCTGTGTTGCTTCCCGTGGGTTAACATGTCTTAGCCAGGTTCCTCCATGCAAATGTGCTGCTGGGGGCATTTAAAAGTGACTGAATGCCAATGGAAAAGACAGGAATATCTCCAGGGTGTATATCATAGTGCTATATGCAAATATATACATGCCTTTTAAAGTGGACGTCACAAATAGCAGAGGAAGAACCGGACAAAGCCAACTGAAATAGCTCTCTCAAAACTCATCTCCTCATATAACTCAGCTGTCACTCAGAGAAAACCATCCAGAAATTCCCACATAGAGCCCCTATCTTGTGGCACAGCCGGGATTTCTCTTTACAAGAGAACATGAGACAAAGATTTCAAGCGAGAGCAAGTCAGCAGTGCCCCCAAGCAAATCATCCCAGCAGTTAATGCCACTGCTACAAATTTACAGCACGTTTCTAACCTGAATTTCTCTCTCATTATGTCCTCGTCTGCCATATTTAAGAGCCATGAGCTATTAGAAATCACCCCCCCATTTACGTGCTTGTGGATAATAGTTTCACTTCGGTTCCCTTGATACATAGACCCATGGGAAGGCCTTGTTAAGCGCATCTGAAGAGAGGCACTGTCCCAAGCCCCATCGTTGAACCGGGGCATACTTTCACTCACTAGCAACAGGAAATCGAGGTTAATTAACGCACCAGTAAGACGTGAATTTGGCTCCCCAGCACAGAGAAGTCAAGGGAGAAGCTCACATCTATTTTGGGCTGTTTATAAACAGCTTCCTAGCTACCCAAGTTTGCCCTCTTCCTCACAGAGAAAGAAGACATGTTATTGAGTAGTTACAATATTTCTAAATATACCCACTCCTCCCAAGATTTAGAAGGGAATTGGGGAGCCTGGAGCTAGTCTGAGGATAGAGAAACGGCTGCAAGAGAAACTCTAAGATTGGCAGAAATGGATCCTTTTCCTTTAAAACATTCTATTTTTCCCTTCAGAAAAGTTCCTGCATGTCCGACTAACAGGCAACGCTCCGTGAGCAACTGCACAGATAAACTAAAAGGGGACAAAGGATGGAGGGAAGAACAAGAGGGAGGAGGAAAAACAAATGGGGAGACCCAAGTGCAGCAGCTTGGATCAATGTGCTGCCAGATCAGCTCTGCCCATCCCCAGGCCTGGCAGGCAGGGGTTAAGGGGATCTGGGGCAACCGTTTTATTGCGAGGACTGCAAATCACTTTCCAGATTTGCAAAATGAGTTTCTTAGGAATAACGATACAGCCCGAGGTGCCACTCTGGAGCTGGACTGGGAACTCCCTCTTTTCTGTCCGAGACCCTTTGTGCAAGTCAACTATGGACCTATAAACTCTAGTTCAAGGACAAGAATCTAACCTCCTGTTCCTCCCAACTGAAGAGACATCACAGATGCAGGATAAAATCTTCCAGATGTTCAGAGGGCTAGTCCCACTGGAAGGACCTCCCATTCCTTCTCTGCCCTTGCGCCCGCGCTTCCCACCCGTGCTCACGCTTCTGCTTCTCGCTTGCAACGTTTTCGCTCAATGCACCTAATCGGGGCCGCCATGTGCTGCATGGATTTGTTGTGATGCACAGAGCCGAGAGCTGTCAAGGGCGACAGGCTGAGACGGACATCGACAAGGGTGATGTTTGCACTTAGCCAGGTGAACGCCATCTCCTTCGATGAAGGACCCATGGGTGCAGCGAGGGAATCCAGACCGCAGCCACACGATGTCTGTTGGCAGTCACAAGTGCAGGAGTGCATCTCAGCCCATTGCAACATGAAATCTACTGATAAGAAAGAGGGATTTGTCATCGCAGGCCTTAGCGCTCTGAGCGGCTGGGTGAGCGCCTGGGATGCTCCAAATGGCTCCATGTTCTCACTCCATCCAACACAGCAAAACACAACACTGCGGCTTCCTTGGGTGGAGGGAGGGAAGAGATCGACCTGCTTCTGGGCTGGTTTCTGCGGTTGCTGCTGCGATCAGGTGCTCCCCCTCCTATCCTCTGTGCCTGTGACGGTGCAAAGGCCCTGCTCCAGTGCTGGCACAAACAGACCTGCCAGCACTGGGAGCTAGCATTTTCTAGGCGCTAATCCCAGGTCCTAACAATGCCAAGGAGGAAGGGGTGGAGGATATTTTTTCTTTCCCTCCAGGGATTGAAATAGAAGAAGAAAGTCAGTTCTGCAATATCCAGTTACTGCAATATAATCTAACTGGGCCAGTTTCACTGAAGAATTTGACCAGCAGCCAATTTGCTTTGTCTTCCATGGCCTAAAGCTACTAAAGTTCAAACGAGAGCAAAAGGAGCTCTTTTCTCAGGACCTCCATCCCTGCACTCCCCACCAGCCACACAGCAATATACCCTCTCGCGGTGTACCTCTCCTCACTGTGCCACCATCCTGAACCCTCTCCCGTGGCATGTAGACACGCACACACTCAGCCACCTCCATCCTTCCAGAATATAATGTTTAACAAGGGAACTTCCCAGCTCTCTTTTCCTGAAAAACACAGATTTCCCTCTTTCCTCCCAGTCACAGACACTTCCCTATCCCAATTTGCAGCTGACTTCTCATCTTCATGCGGTCAAAAAAAAAAAAAAAAAGTCGCATCGCTAATGATGCCAAACTCGAGAGCTCTCCCTGCCTGAAAATGCAGCTTTTCCAGTGTCAGCTCAGCGCTGCCCCTGAACTGGGATTACCTGCAAACCAGGGCAAAGCCCTGCTACAAGCTCACCGGTCCCACACAACCGTATTTCCCTTTTCAGGCGGGCCTGTCCTGCAGTGCCCAAATTTTCCCACCGCGTGACAGCCAGCCAAGTGGGAAAATAAACCGAGCGCTCTCGTGGCGAGGGGCACGGTTCTTTCTGCCCATGGCAGCTAACCAGCGGGGGTGGGAATTGCTCCCTCAGCCCACGCTGAACGCCACATATAGAAGGCAAAGGCCGAGAGTACCTTGTCCTCGCAGCTAGAGGAAAACTCCCAGGCCGTATAAACCCACGCGCCCCGCTGCGGGCAGCCCACTTGGAGAGCGGGGGGAAAGAACCGTTTAACCCCTTGTTCAGATCTCCAAAGAAACTTCATTTATTTCTTCTGTAACCGCAATTTTCATCTTTTTCTCCCTGCTCGCATCCTGGCTGCACCTCGGGCCCCAGCCAAGACAGGACCCTCCTATAATAAACTCTGTTCACATCCATAAGGAGCTATTTCCAAGTGCTCACAGCCTACTTAGAGCTCAATTACTCAGCTGGGAGAGCCGGGGTATTGCCCAGGGTATTGCTGGAATAGGTAAGGAATCAGAGCCAGAACAATCTGTTAAAAGGGGTATTCACATAAGCCTCTGTCCTGTTTACACTGCTGATACTCTTCAGTCCTATCCCTTCACAGCAGATGTGAATCAGGCCTGGGATGCAAAATCTGACCATGAGTACAGAGATAAATAGCTTAAAGAGTCTCATTCTTCCACTTTCTGGCTCAGCTTGTGAAAAAGTAGGGAAACCAAATGCTTCCCAGCCTCCCACGCATGAAGCACATACCAAATATTCTTAGTGCAGAGGTTAATAAATGTTACAGAGAAGTGGCAGTGGCTCCCACCAAGGCGATGCGCAAAAGATGAGAGAGGGACTGGCACGAAGCTTCCTAGACCCGAGGCTCAAAGGGAGCCATTCAAGGATTTGCCAGGTGCAGAGAAGGAGATAAATGTGTCCAAATCCTAATAAAAGAATGAACTTAAACTGAGTAATAAGCAACACAAAACAAATGGCTTAGGGCAAAACCTGCTTCTTAAGAGTGATTTTCACAAAGCAGCAAACTTTTCTCTCTTTTTATTCCGCGAGAGCCAGAGATGTTTTAAGCTTTTGCACAAGCGAAACGGAAAGGACCGAGAGTCTGGAGATCTCCAAAGGGAAAAAGCAGTGGAAAAAGAAACACAGCCTGCAGGATTGCTGTCATTGCGCCTTCTCCATCTTCACTACCAGCCCTGCTGAAAGATGTTAGAGCAGAGGCAAAGATAAAATCCCTGGCACCAGCACAGATGTTGGCTTTCTGAGTAACATCAGGATCTCGTGAAATACCCTGTTCCCTCCCAGAGGGCCTGGAGCAGGTCCCTGCCTAATTCCTTTTGCCTCTGCATGACAGCTATTCTCTTAGCAAGCACAACACACGTTTCTCAGGGTTTGTATTTTCCATATAGTCCCTTAAAATAACCCCGCGGAGTTCACAGGTGTGCCCCTGCCTTTCTCACAGAAACACCTTACTCACAGCTGAGACGTGGGGAGATGTGACTTACGTCTACCGAGAGTTCCCGCTGAATAATTTTCTTGGGCTCCTTGTCACAGCGATTGAGCGCTGTGTCGCGGCTGTGCGGGCCAGCTGGGCGCTTTTCTGTTTGGCTGCTCTGCTCGAGCTCCAGAGGGATGCTTCCATCTGGATCCACCACATCCAGCTCCTTTTCCAGCTCTTCCATCTCCTCTGGAGACAGAGTGGACAACAAACTATCAATATCTGGATCTTCGCTAACTTGTCGCCGGTATTTGGCTACCTTGGACATCCTGGTGGCTCGCTGGCGAGACACGGTTGCGGTGGTATGTGGTACCAAGGATAGAGAAAAAAAAATCGAAGCCTTGATACGGCTTCCCTCAGTGGCAGCAGGTGCTGAAGCGTTAAATCTCAGCAGCTCTCAATCGCTGCAGCCCAGGGTATAGTAGTTATAAAGAGGGGACACCCCTCAGTCCAAGGGTTGGCCAATAACAGGGCCCAGCTGCGATTCGGGTGCTGCGAAGCCAATGGAGCCCAGCGGGAGGCGGGGAATGGTGCTATCAGAGGAGCTTGAAACCCGAGGACATTCCAGGGAACCATGCAGAGCTGCATGACCAAATTTAGTCCGGAGCATTTAGCCTTTTAAAGGCAATGGGCCAACGTAGTGAGAAAACGCACAAAAATGCACAAGCTGGCAGGCTGGGGATCTGGCAGTGGGGGTGGGGAGCAGGGAGAGGCAGATCCCCAGCACATGCCCATCAGCGCCAGACAGCTAATAAAGAGGTCAGCGTTGCTCCGCAGACATCAGTCGTCTCCCCTGTTGCAGATGGGGAGAGTTTCTGGAGCTCATGTTCGTGCTAGTGACAGCTCTGTGCTGAAATCAGCAATAAAATGCCCACCCTGGAGAAAGTTTCTATCTTTATCCGCCATCCCCTTGCACTCTCTAGGGTCTATGCGGTTAATCAAAGCCCTGGAGAAAGAGATGGGGAGCGGTTATGTTTTTGGTGCAGACTGGTTTCTTTACAAAGGATGTACAAAGTCCAACACCTTTTCACCTGGGAGGAATCAGCCCAGCCCGATATCTGCTTCTCATTCAGCAAAAGCTAACTAGCCCCCACTCCGTCCCTGGGTCGCTTCATCAGCACTTCTGCTGATTCCCTGTCCTCTGCTGGGCTTTTCTGCAGGCGCTCCTCCTCGCAGCCCTCCCAGTTCCCCTTCGCCAAGCCCCGGAGACATCCCTCCTTCTGCACAGTTTAAATTCCCCAGTCTCCTGCTTTTGTTTCGGGCGGTGCCCTAAGTCTGGACTTTGGCTGGGGGCACCCACTTTCCTCCAATCTGATCCAGCTATGCTCTTCTCTCTGAGTTTCGAGGCAGTTTTACCCCATGCATAACATTTTGTATCCATGTGTTATGCTGCCAGCTTCACCCTTTCCCTTCATCCTTTATCATCCTCCTGATATTAAGAGCCCACTGTCAGATCCCTCTCTTTCCTTGTCTAAGCAAACAGCACTTTGTTCTCCTTCAGTAAAATAAACTCTCATAAGATTTTCCTCAATGGTCTAATCACCTTCTCTGCCTGTCTCCATGGCTCAGTTCCTGTCCTGAATGCAGGTACAGGATGTTCCAGGTGAGTCTTCCACTGCTTTGTGATATGGACTAAATATTTTCCACCTGGATGGGAAATGCGGACTCTTGTTCCATTCTAGGATTTCATCTATCTCCAGCATCACAGCGTCCAGCTCCCGCTCCTAGCCTTCCTGTGATTCACCAGCACAACTGAGATCTTTCCCAGATTGTAGCAGAAACTCTTGTTTTCAGTTTCCAGGTGCATAACCTTAAACGCTGCAGTACTGAATTATCCCATTTCATCCAATCACTTCCATCTCTCTGATACCCTGATTCTCATCTACACTGATCATAGCAGTATCAGGAAGCGTGGCATGAACAGGATATGTTATCAGCACATTCCTAATGTCTGTGCCGAGGTCCTAAGTGACTACGTGAAGATTGCTCACAAGATCCAATGGTGAGGAACCTTACTGGCAACCTCCTGACACTTCCTCCCCCACTTCCCACTGCTGGGTGCGTGGGTACGCAGTAAAAGATGCACTGACACCGCACGTCGGCTTCCCCGAGAAGCTGCGAATGTGGCCTGGGAGGCCTTGAGTTTCTCCTAAAGCATCATATGCCCTTCCCTGATTTGAGAGTCCACGTGTCTGCTGGGGTTTCCTCCACTGGCCATACAGAGGTAAAACACTCAGAGTTTTGCAGGGAAATATTCCCTCTTAAATATCAGTAGAGGTCTTTGGACAACAGCCGAAAAGCAAGGGGAGAAGCAGAGGTCACCCCAAACTTGTCACAGTTCGTGCATTACAGTGGATGGTCTTATGACAGTTTATCTTGGCTGCTATGTCTCTCCTTAAACGGAGATAGCGTAGCTCTGAACGCCCCACAGAACGCCATAAAAACTCTGCAAACGGTCAATGAGTAAATTGGAAAGAAAACGCAGTGTCTGCACCCCATAATACTGGAGGAGCTCTGGATACATTTGCACTGACTGCTCCTTCACGGGCCAGCAGCAGCCAGGGGCTGAGGAAGCGTGCCGGGAACGCTCCGCCGTGCGTCGCGTCGCTCCACGGCAGGCTCCGGCCGCGCCAGGGCTGCGCCAGCCAGGGGAGCGCGGCACGGCGGAGCTCCCAGCAGCCGTATGTCTTCTTCACCGAGGTCTTCTTCAGTCTCTGCGCTTATCAAGATCCCCATCTCCATAGCAACTGAGCACCTCACAGCCACTGATGAATATTTCTGCACAACACTCCTTTGAAACGTGGCAATATTATTAGCCATGCAGAGTGAGATCAAGTGCCTTTTCCAGGTGCATGTGCAGGGTCTGTGGCAGAGCTGGGAAAGCTTTTCATGCCCCCTACCTCTCATTCCACCACCTCTAACCCTCTGTCCTCCCTTACTTTTTCCTGTTAGCTGGCAGAGTACGATTGAAAAATGGATGCATCTCTGCGATCTGTTTTATTTTCCCCTTCCTTCAGAGCCTGTAGGAGGAAAGGAGGTTAAACACACCCATCTTCCCTGTCATTTTTATGATCAGATGTTCCTTGGGGAAGCAGGTGACATCTCCTTGGCCCTGCCTGCCTGGCAGCGGCACACAGCTGCCCTGGAACGTGTTGGCGCGCTTCTTGCCCTGGGCGAGCAAGAGAAACAGCGTCTCTGTCCTGAGGCCAGCTAAAGCTTCACGCAAAACCTTCCTCTACAAAATACCTCCTCACACGTGAAACGCAAACCCCTTGGCTTGGGTGCGTGGCTGGTCCCTCTCTCCTCCCTCCTCATCTACCTGCTTTTTCAGTCTGAACTGAAAATGTACCCGTGCATTGAAATGCAAAAGTTTTGCTCCTCAAAGCAGGGAAGCAAGTATGGAGACAACGTTATAAGCCAGGAAAGTAACCGGCTCTTGGCTGCAGGGCAATTTGGAAAACCCCTACGCACCTTCCAGCGGCCTGCCAAGGGGATGCCACCACTGTCCCTGACTGGTCTGCTTGAAGGCATTTTGGAGCCGCCTGGGGCACTGCCAAACCTATGAGCTTGGCAGGGAGTTTTGGGCCATCTTGAGAGCCCTCCCTCAGCCTGTGGGTTGTTAAAGGGATGACCAGAATTATTGTCCGGCTTGGTCCAACTATCCCGTCACTTACTAGGCGAAAGGATAAGGGTTATTGAAAGAAATTGCAACCCTAAGAAGGGTCAGATCAGCATGGAGCCAGTCACAGTAGCAGTGGAGGGGTCTGCTCCCAGGCTCTACCAGGCAACAAGCAACTGGGACGAGACTGAGGTTTTCCACTCTTCCTTTCTACTCGTTCCTTCTCTGCTTTCTAGTCTTCTCCTCTCCCCCTCCCTTCTCCAAAGCAGAAGTCACAATACCACCTTCTGGTAATCTCCATTACTGCATCACCATGCTCTTTCACCCGCTGCTCCCATCCTGCCTTAAATAAGGACAAACATGCAATTGCTTCTTTCAGATCACGAAGAAACCTTTACATTTACAAGGACTCTTTAAAAGCCTCCAGACCCAGCAAACTAAAGCAGGAGGAGCATTTCCGTTCCTTTTCATTGCTTCAGCCCATGATTTATTTGGGCAATTAAGTGCCTTGTTGGTGCTCAGACGCTGCAGCACACCACAATCTCCATTGCGTGTTGCGACTGAACAATTTCTTGTCCCGACAAAAGAGCAGCGGGCAAGGTTAAATTAGGACTGTGAAAAGAACGAGTGATTTACAACTTAGAGCGCTTGCAAGCATTTGTGGGGGGAAAGGCTTTGGGGGACTTCACAGGCTGCCAGCACGGAGACTTCTTTTGGCTCCCTGGAGAAACTGCCCTCTCCAAGTCGCTGTCTCTTGATGGAGCTGTTAGGGCCAAATTCCCTGCTTGCCCACACTGCCCAGTCACAGGACCATCCCCAGGGACGCCTTGAGGTCACCCCGGGTGATTCCCCAGCTCCAAGAGCGCTGCAGGAGACACCTGACCATCTCCGAGCGTCTCGGCAGCTCTTGCGCGGAGAGGACGCGTCGCCCTGCGCCGCGGGGCCTGCCCCTGGCCGCACGCGCGCGCCCCCTCCGCGCAGCGGGGCACCGTGGGAGGCGGGCCGGGTTGTGCAC